GCGTTGACCTCGACGGCCCCGACCTGGTCCCAGCTCAGGTTCTCGGCGACGGTGACGGGCACGAAGTTGCGCTTGCGCTTGACCTCGCGGTGGATACGCGCGCGGTCGGCCTCCAGCAGCGGCACGATGTCGGACAGGCGGTCGAGCACCGAGTCGAGGTCCGGCGCCTGCTCCGACACCAGCAACACACGGTAGTTCTGACGGTTGGCCGCGACCGGCGCGCCGAAGCGGTCGAGAATGCGCCCGCGGGTCGGCGGCAGCAGGCGCAGGTTGATGCGGTTGTCCTCGGCCAGCATGGCGTAGCGGTCGGACTGCTCGACCTGCAGCACGTACATACGCCCGGCCAGGGTCGCCAGCATCAGCGACATGCCGCCGCCCAACAGCAGCGAGCGGCGGGTGAAGCTGCTCTGACGTAGCTGTTCCTCGTGGCGGACCTTCTGCATCGCCACCTCCTATCTCAAGAAGGCCTGCTGCGCCCGCCCGAACAGCCAGGCGAGGCAGGGGTAGGCGGCGACGGTGGCGGCATAGCGCAGCAGCGTCTCCAAGGGGTCGACCAGTCGGACCTGGAGCAGCGAGCCGAACAGCCACTCCACGGTCAGCGCCATGGCGGCCACCAGAACGAAGCCCGCCCACAGCAGCGCGAAGGTGGCATGCGCGAAGAAGCGGCGCTGCGCGGCCACCGCGAGATAGGCGGTCAACAGCATCGCCGCGCCCAGACCCAGCGGCGCCCCGGTCAACAGGTCGTGCAGCACCCCGATGCCGAAAACCAGCCAGGCGGGCATCAGGTCGGGCCGGAAGATGGCCCAGTAGTAGACCGCCGTGAGCACCAGCGCCGGCATGACCGGCGCGATCTCCTGCGCGCGCGGCGGCAGCACCGTCAGCAGCATCAGCAGGAAGGTCATGGCCAGCGGGGCGAGGCCCCGCGCCACGAGATCCAGGCGCTGCCAGAGAGAGACCCGTTCCATGCCCGTCTTATGCTCCGACCCGCCGCTGGCAGGTCCAGCTCAATCTCAAGGATTCTCCACCGCCGCCCCATTGGTCAGCGGCCGGATCAGCTCCGGCAGCTCGTAGTCGACGAGCTGCAGGAACTCCATGTGCGACCAGTCCGCGAAGGGACGTACGCGTACGCCCTTCTCCGTGACGGCGACGACGATGCCGACCGGCAGGCCGGCCGGGAAGATGCCGCCGTGGCCCGAGGTCACCACCCGGTCGCCCGGGCTGATCGAGGTGCCGGGCGCGAGATAGAGCAGCTCCGGCGTCTCCGAGTTGTCGCCGGCCAGCACCGCACGGTCGCGCGCCTGGCCCACCAGCACCGGGATACGGCTGTTGATATCGGTGATCAAGAGGATCCGCGCGGCCCGCCAGCCCACCTCGACGACCCGCCCCGCCAGGCCGGCGCCGGTCAGCGCCGCCTGGTTCTTGCGCAGACCGTCGCGCGCGCCGGCGGCCACCAGAACGGAGCGTACGTACGTGCTCCCCTGATCGCCGACCACCCGGGCGGAGATGGCCCGCCGCGTCGGATCGGGCGCCAGGTTCAACAGGTTGCGCAGACTGCGGTTCTCGCCGCTCAGACGCTGCGCCTCCTGGTACCAGCCGGACAGGCGCTGCACCTCTTCGCGCAGGGCGGCGTTCTCCTCGCGCAGGCGCGCCAGGGAGCGGGCCTCGTCGAAGGCGGTGTTGATGCTGGAGACCGGCCGCGAGGCGGCGTCGAGCAGGGGTGCGACCGCATCGAGCACCGCCACCCGCGCACGCTCGACCACCATGGTGTCGATCTTGCCCAGCAGCATCAGGGAGAAGGTCGCGCCGATCAGCAGGAAGACCGCGAAGCGCTGCGCCCACGCCTTCACGGGCGTGGCCAGGCGCACCACCGTACCGGGTCTCTGTTTCACGCACACCCTCCGAAGCCGTCACGGACCGAAAGGTCAAGTGACGAAATCTTCGTCCCGTCAAGCAATCTAAAGGATGGCCCGGAGAAGATAAAGAATTGCTTTCCGCGGCGTCCTGACTCAGTACATCGAGATCAGGACGTTCTTCAGCGTCTTCATTTCCTCCAGGCAGCGCCCGGTGCCGAGCGCGACGCAGGACAGGGGGTCGTCGGCGAGCGACACCGGCAGCCCGGTGGCCGCGCGCAGCACGAAGTCCAGGTTGCCCAGCAGCGCGCCGCCGCCGGNNCCCTTGTCGACGATGTCGGCGGCCAGCTCCGGCGCCGTATGCTCGAGCGCGACCTTGACCGCCTCTATGATCGCCGAGACCGGCTCGGCCAGCGCCTCGGCGATCTGCCGCTCGGAGATCACCAGCTCCTTGGGCACGCCGTTCATCAGGTCGCGTCCCTTGATCTCCAGGGTCGCCCCCTCGCCGTCCTCGGGCGGACAGGCGGAGCCGATCTCCTTCTTGATCCGCTCGGCCGAGCCCTCGCCGACCAGCAGGTTATGATTGCGGCGGATGAAGGCGATGATCGCCTCGTC